GTTAAATAAATGATGATCTTAATACAAAAGGGATAATTTTATACTGTTATAATGTAGAAAATCAAGTGTGTTGACATCTAGTCTGATCAGGATAATACTTCACTTTTTTTCAGGTATGACAATGAGTATTGATAGGTACAAGTACATAAAATCAGGGCACAAGCATGATGATAAATTAAGTAGACTTAATTTCAATACTATAAGAGGACCAACTCGAATTCTCACCATTTGTTTCACACCTAGAAAAACGACTTCCAGGGTATTAACAATCTCTCGAAACTGATCAGTTTTGTACAAGTAAACCATATTTCTTTTTAAAAAACTTGTGCACTTGCCCAGGTTCAAGGATATTAAAATCTAGCACATAAAGCTCATTACCAGAGGTAGAAATACAGACAATATACTATTATGGCAACAACCTTCAATTACAGTTAAAAATTTTTCTGTATCAACCAAATGAATAATTAAACACTGCAATAACTCAAATATTACTGAGCAAAGTTCATTTCTATAATATTCCGTGCTGCTATTCAGCTTTCTAACTTAAAACAGCATGATAACTGGCAACGAAGAAGGTCCTTGCAATAGACTGAGAACTTATGATGTAAGCATTGCATGCAGTTAATATGCTATCTAAACTTTAAAGGTATTCCTAAAATATTTGATGGTAGACTATGATTAAGATATTATACTATTAAAAAAAAAGCCTTATGCAGGAAATCCTAACTAACACACTTCGTCTTTAAATATTGTGAACACATTACAGCGAAATGAATTCTCCCAGTGATTATGTCAAATGCAGTTACTTTTTAAATATTATCTCATTAATAAAATTAAAATTTCCAATTTCATCTAAACATCAGTTAAATTAAAATCTTCAAATCAACCTACCCATCACAAGAAATGATTTATATTGATTTTTATATGGTTTTAATACAAAATAAAATGAGATTTGGGATCTAGAACTTGATTTGAAATTTCTGTACATGTATGTATATAACAGTCTTGGATTAAAAATTGCTTCAATTTAGTCATTTTATTCAGTTTTTTAAAAAGATGCTCAGCTAGTACTTTTATGTTCTCCAAATAGCTTTAATTAATTGTTTAACTTTTTTTTTGAAAAATGTTCAGCTAGTACTTTTTATGGTCTGAAACAATATTTTCAGTTTTTAAAAATGTTATGAACTAAAAAGCATCGAACTTAAATAATACAATCCTTTGCTAAGTCTCCTTTTCACTCCATTAACATTGATGATGTACATTTCTGTGATAGAATTGATAAAGCAGAAACAAGAAATATATTACTTTAATCTTAAATACTTATTCAAAATAAGTTTCTAAATAGAATTGCTGTGCCAGAATTCAAATACATGAGCACAAATATACATAATACATAAATACACATAAGTTTTTTAAATATATGTACTTTATGGATAATGATTTAAAATCTCTAAAAGATTAGTATTTTTTTAATTATGCAATTATTTTAACTCCTTGAATCCAAATTATGGTAAATTATGTTTGAAATAGAAAGAAAAAATAGCCATGAATTCTTTCCAAGTCCATAATATATCTTGTCTAAAGAAAAAACATGATTTAATTTAAAAGTATAATTCATGTAATGTTCGTAAGATTTATTCAGTTGTTTAATGATAGTGTGTTCAACTAAGAGTGTAGTTAAATAAACTCTGGCTAATTATTAGATAAATATATTTGAGCAAATATCATACTTTAAGTTGTAATATACGACGATAAGTGCTCTATATTTTTTCTTACTCTAATGATGCAATTTCATATTGTATGTTATATGGCATTGAATCTGCTCCGAGTCCTGATGACCATGTAAATGAGTATGTCTGCACTCTCCGGTCCTCAACAACTCTGCTCAGCTCTTGTAGACTCAAGCCTAGTGCTTCTTTTATAGTCAATCCATCTCATATTCGGTCTTCTTCTTTTCTTGCTGCTTTCTATTTTTCCCAGTATTATTATCTTTTCCAAAGAACATTGCTGTCTTATGATGTGCCCGAAATAGGAAAGTTTTAGTTTTGTCATTTTTGCATTTCAGGCTTTATTTGCTCTAGGACCCCCCTGTTTTTCTTTCTGGTGGTCTAGGCTATCTGGTGGTCAGGGTTTCTAACAACACATTTCAAATGAACCAAGTTTTTTCCTGTTAGCCTTCTCTACCGTCCAACCTTCACATCCATACACAGAATTGGGAATATGATGACTATAATGTTATTGAAAGTTTCAAATTAATCTCATTTTATAGAGAATCTTAACTTCACAAACAAATAAAACCATTGACATTTTTATTTGGCCTCAATTGCCATTTAACCAAACTAAAAATATCTTTCATAGTTTGCATCTGGGGTTTCACATATACAGCAATAGAAATAAGAAAACGGTCATATTAATCTGACTTTAACTTTGCTGTTCTTGAGGCTTAGTGACCTTTTTTCAAAGTTTAACTCTATATTTTCTAAATCTTTTTGTCAATAAAAACAAACAAAAAGATATATATATTTGGTTTTTATAATTTTGAGGTACTAGCATGTCTTCTTGTGAGTTCTTAAAAATTAAGACTTTAAACTAAGGGTCAGTAAACCATGGTCTGTAAGATGAATTCTACTTATCATCTATTTTTGTATGAAGTTTGAAAGAAAGCAGTTTTCACATTTTTAAATGGTTAGAAAAAGTCAAAAGGAGAATCACATTTCATGAAAAGCAAAACTTATATGAAATTTAAATTTCAGAGTCCATAAATGCATTCTTATTGGAACACAGCTATTCTCACTGTGTATGTATTTTCTATGGCTGCCTTTGAGCTATTGTGACAGATGTGTGTAGTCATAACAGAGACTCACAAAGACTAAAATATTTATTATCTGGATCTTTGTAGAAAAGTTTGCCAAACATGCTTCAAACAATTAATATATGACTATATACACACACAACACGTAAATCTGGGGGACAGGACATGATATCATTTTTTTCAGTTAATATTATTTTATTATGTTCTTATTAATATACTTTTATATAAGCTTTGGTAAAGGCCATTAGTCATTAGCAATTAAATATTTGCCATGATGTTCATTTAATATTTGGGAAGTTACTATGGAACTGCTTGAACTGATCACTTACTTTTTTAAGGTATATCTTTCTTCACATCAAAGGCTGAAGTTTTGAGAGTTTGAAATTCCTGTAATTCCCCACCTGAAATGAACTTATACATCTAATAACAATCGGCAATAACTTTAAATCTGTAAAACTCAGCCTAATGTTTACTTTACCATGTCTTGGTATAGCTGTTATGCCTTGCTTCTCAGCTAAACCATTTTGTAGTAAAGACAAAACACAGAAAATCATATCAAGCTTAATTCACTTTCTTGACCCAGTTTACAATCCAGATTAAATACATTAAAAAAAAGACAAATTTGGTAAATTAACCAAAAAATTGAATTCTTTGCAAGCAAAGATTGCTAATAGATGTTTTTATGAGAAAAAAGATTATCATTCTCTACTAATGAACTTAATGTCATTCAAGCTATTGAAAAAGCTATAATAATATAAATCAGTAATTCACTGTATAATGCCATAACTAAATAGATTATAGTCTAAGCGTCAGCTCATGGTTCAAAAGCTATTTTTAAAATAGGATTTCCTAGAAGAAAATCAATCATTTATCACCTCTGCATCATTATTATAGGCCCTCTTTAAAGGGATGCGGGGAAGCTTTAAAAGTCTTGAAAGAAATGTAGAATTTGCTGTGATATCCAGCATGATCTTGCTACTAAATCGTGTGGTTATTAACAATAACGATGACTATATTTTATTTTAGGATGTTTCTAAAATCTCTAAATGAAAGTATGTACAGCATATTTCTACATTTTTATATTTAGCTATTATAATAGTGAAGAAAACTAAAAATCACTTAGGGACATTAAAAATGTATAACTAGAAGTAATGATTCAAATAATATTTCTGATATGCGTCTCATTATGTAAAGCTATGAAATAAAATAAAACAATGAGATATTTACTATTATATATTAAAAGAAATACTAGGCATTAACTAAATTCAATCCCTTTTTAGAATTGTTTTTTCTTTAATCCCTAAAATAAATTATAAGAAGTGAATTCAGAGTAACAAAACAAATAATGTCATACTCCAGAGAACCAAAAATATTATTATCTCAAATACATGAACTTAAGAAGTAAAGCCTCTTCCTTCACATCCAAAATAACTGATTTTACCAAAGGCAGTCTTGGAATGGAAGGAGACCTAGAGATCACCCAAGAAATGAAAATCACAATGTTTCTTCTCTCTAAGTCATGGATGATTTCTCCCAGGTTATGTGAGATTCCATGTCAATTCTAACAATACTAGACTAATCATTAAAATAATTTTTATTTAAAAGATGATCAGACCATTATTTTCAATCGTCAGATCACCTTTGTGATTAGAGATGATGCCTTCCATAGTCAGCCAGCTCTTCTGGTATTATGGAATCCTGATAAGAAATCTCAAATACAAATTGTCTGTTTGCTTCCATTAAGGCAATATCTGTGGGCTGTAGCCGACTGGCAGTGAACTGTGAACTGGACTTAAGTCAGAAATACATTGGTATGGCAAATCTTGCACAACTTTTTACCTCAAGCTCTAACCTCAAAGTAGGAGAAGCTGCCAAAAGAGTCAGTCCTTTCTCCAAATCTAATCGAAATATTTGGAATGGTATTACAGTTCACAAAATAATATTTTGCTTTTACTTTTCTATTCCCAGATGTGGGAAGATGTTTTCTTCTCTTCCTTTTTTTTTTTTAATCTTATATTTAAGATAACTCCTAGCCCAACCTTTACCCATCACTAGAATCACAACGGAAGAGTTTTTCTAGAGGTTGCTTTGTGTTATAAAAACATTATTAAATTAAAATGAATTTTCTGTGCTTATAAAAAGACAACATTTGCAGTCACTTTAGGTGGCTTCGGTGCTGGGCACTTACCCAAGTCCCTGGTTCTGTGGAGTCAGCTGTCCTCCATGTGCCTGGTTCTGCTGCATGTGACTGAGTGTTCAAATGCCTGTCCTTACCAAACTTGTTCAGAAAAGATTCAGCCCTTCGAATGAGAGAATAGGTGGTCATTATGAGAAGTCTTTAAAAAAAGAAAGAAAAAAGAAGAAAAAAACTGGATTTTAAACAGGCAAATGCTTCTGCAAGTCTCAGAAGGTTTTGCAAGACTAATCATCACCAACATGAAACTTGAGCTCACCTTTTATAGACCTTTCTTTCCTTCAACTACATTTCTTTCAATTTTCATTTCATTCCCTTATTCCATTTTTTCCTCTCTGCTTTTGATCTTCTATTTTATACTGTACAGCAATCTCGAGTGGTATGTGTGAAGTGAGCCATCGTCAGCCTGCTGAGGGAAGCCTGCTGGTCTAGAAAAAATCATAAAGTAAGTAACGAGGCCTGAGATTGGATCAGGAGTTCATCTGCACAGTTATCAATGTCCTGTTGTGTTTTGTGAAAGATGCCTGGTCCTTTCAATACTACGTTTTATGTAGCGATGAAAATGGGATATGGAATATCATCATGAAAACTAGTTCGATTGGGATAATAATGGCTAAGAAGCTGTCAATGCAAAAAAAGGAAAAAAATCAACAGGACCCAATTGTGAAGAATGAGCCAGACACTGAACCTGTTTAATAATCTCTGCTTTTGTATAGGGGCCTCCAAATAATTTTCACCCCACCAGTCTTTAGAGCATTCTAAGAATTCTACTCCAATAGCTATTATCATTTCTCATTGAGAAGAAAAGTAAGAGGCTGGGAATTGGATGCCACAGGGAAAGGTTTTGACATTCTCTGACCATAGTTAAGCTTTACTTTATGCTCTACTGTGCTTAGGGATGACCATGTAGAAGGCTGAAGCCCATTGTGTAGGTTTATGTTACTCTATCGACTGTTTAATAACAGTGGCTATCCTGAAAAAGCACATTCCTTTATTAGTAATATCATTGGAATCTCCCTTTATAAAATTTTATTTTATTTAATTGGCTTAGGACACTTAAACAACATTTAAGTTTTCAATTGCTTCTGTGACAGAGGCAAGTTGCCTGTGGCTACTGTGAATGGAGATTAAAATACAGAATAAAATAAAGAGTTCAGTCTTTAATTTCTAGTAAATCCC